AACTGAAGCAGAGGAAGCTCCAGCTGAACAGGAGGAAGAACTTCTTCCCTCTGAGGGTGACGGAGCCTTGGCCCAGGCTGCCCAGGGAGGCTGTGGAGTCTCCTTCTCCGGAGATATTCAAGCCCCGCCTGGACGTGGTCCTGTGCAGCCTGTTCTGGGTGACCCTGCTTGGGCAGGGGGTTGGACTGGGTGACCCACAGAGGGCCCTTCCAACCCCGACCGTGCTGTGATTCTGTGACACGCTGTAAAGAAATGTCTCTTCAAGGTATAAGGCCAAGTCCTCTTCTACCATTGGGTTCCTTAGACAGCCTTAGACAAGAATTTGTGGTTATTCAGTGTTGAGCTTCTACGTGTTCAGTTATTATTCATTCAAAGATCCGGTAATGACCTAACAGTGTGATATATACTGTAAACTGGCGTCCTTTATTACGGCTGCTGGGGGATCTCTCCTCCAAACATGCGCATCAAACACCCTTTCATTTCAGATTAAATATGATCACAATGTACGTATTAATTATACTTCTGAGAAATACTTAACACGTTTGTGTTTTTTCTGAGAAGTAATTAGCTTATGTTAATGTCCTTTGCACGTGTCTGTTAAGGGTTTTCAGATGAAGGCTAGGGCTCTTCATCACAGTGTCCACTGGTTGAACTCTGTTTCTGCGCAAACTCAGTTCTAAGATCACAAACACCGTGTCCTTCCAGGTTGTTTTGTTCCGGTCGTGTTGCCCTCTTGGTGCCTCTTCATCTCTAGCTCGGCGCATCTGCCCTCCTAAGGCCGAGCTGTCTGGAGTGGAATTATGTGGGAGTCTCTTATCCCACAGCTATCCCAGTTATCCACTGAGAACCAAGACTTGCTTTGGTTTTAGTTATCTGTTGTGCAATAGTTCTGGTGACTTGAAGTGATAACTTATATCTACTACATTCACAGGTATCAATCCCTCTTTTTCTTTTGAGGACTGTAGCTTAAATATTTTGAAACAGAGGTTAGTACAACAGTTGCAGCGTTAGATCATTACGTATGCAAGAATACAAACTGTAGTAATAGAACTACTAACAACTAGAAAATATCATTAAAGCTACTTTGTTGTAGTTTCACGTTTCTTATGATCCCTTCTATCATTATCGGTCATAATCTCATCTTTCTGTACCACCTGAGAGCACTGCGCTGATCTCGATCTACCTTCTGACCTGCTTTTCAGTGCTGAAAGCTGTGCTCTGTCGGGCTCGTGCACACTGTAGTAACCCTTTCCCCGCTGCTAGCCCGTAGAGGCGATCGGGGTTTGGTCAGTTTTATCCCACACTGCTTGAATGCGGTTTTTTACCAGATGCCCAAATACCCCTTTCACACCTCTTGGATCAGTAGTGTGTCACGTTAATAAACAGATAGAATTTTATCACCTGGAGATAAGTAGGTGTCCAGTGAAATGAGCGATATTAAAGGGGAAGTGGTTTTCTAAACTACAGAGTGTGTTTCAAGAAGAGACAAAGGAAGTTGTCTCCCCTTTTTCCGCCCATGCCTTGGCTGATGCAGTAGGAATTAGCAGTTATTCTTCAGGAACATTGAGCTTACAGCACTTTACATTTTTCACATCTATTGGCTATTTTCTGTTGTTTCACTTGACCATCTGCTCTTCCTCCGCTTCTCCCCACTTCTCCGTCAGGTTGGTGCATGGCTAAAGAAAATATATGGGAATGAGCCTGTTCCACAGTACGAAGTGAATGAGAGCACTGTTGATATCTTGTATCAGCTTGCAGAGTGCAATGAAGCCAGAGACAAGGATGTTTCTCTGCTGATAGAGGACATGAAGCAGAAGGCAAAAGAATATGAAGCAAAAGGTGAGTTTGAAACTCCACTTCTCAGTTCCATCAAAGATAGGTTTTTCTTAGTGATCCTGAAGATTGTCTTTGCTGAAGTCTTACAAATACATATTTATTTTTATACAAAATGGGAACGAATTCAACTTTTGTTCTGGTACAGCTTTTACTACAATGCATCCCGTGCCTTCCTTTACAGTGACAGAAGGTTGGTCAAGAGCAATTTAAGCCATCCTGAGCAGGCTGTAAATACAGACAAGCAGATTAATTGCTGAAACCTCCTAGCCTGCTGGGCTGAGTAGTACAGCATTGAAATATTGGCTGGATAGACAGGGAAGCAACCCTACAGCTGTTTTAAGAGTCTGAGCCGGTGCTAATCCACTGTTAAGGAAAGCGCTTGAGGAGTCTGAAACAACAGCGAGGTGATTAAGTTATGCTCGAGCTGCCTAGAGTGAGTGTTTGAGGATGTGTTTTTTTGGAGCATGTGAGCTGTTCAGGGAACCATAATACGTTTTTAACGTGTGTTGAAAGAGGGAGTCCCATCTAGGCCTTTAAAGAACAGTAACATAAAAAAAAAAATTGCTATTTTGGCTTGTATTTATTTTCCAGCTAACCATCTACAGGGCATTCTTAGAGAAAGCCTGGGTCTTTC